AGACCGGATTTTTAGTGCGTTCCCGAAGGCTCATTCCCGAGATGCCTTTTCCCTGTTTACATCAACCCCTGAGTGATATTATCACTTCTCATATATTCAGATGCTAACAATTAGCACATTTCTATCTCTAACCCTCATATCCTTCTTGAAATTTTATCCAATTGCAAAACTGGCATCTCAATTTAGATGGTATATAGCACCTCACGCTTAACTATGCCAAAACTGACTTCTTGAATTTTCTCTAAATCTGTTCTTCCCTTAATTTTCTACATGTCCCATGGCACCGTAATCCACCCGGTTACTCAGTCCATGTATTGGGGAGTTACTCTTGATGACTGTCCTTAGCCATCCTCACCCAACCTGTCATCCACCCTGACATCATCACCACCATCAGTCATCTTCTAACTTCAGAACAGATCCAGAATGCATCTCGGTCTCATCACTCCAGCTGTCACCACTCTAGTTCAAGGAGGAGATGATGCCTCCCCGGACTTTGACAAAAACTCCAGAACTGGTCTTGGTGTTTCCACTCTGCCACTCATGCCCCAACCCCGCACCCGCCTCCACAACGGTTTTGTTCCAAACAAGACCCTCTCATTCCGCTTGAAACCTCTCTATGGGTCCCCATCCCCTGCACTGAAAAATAACTGAAAACATAAAATCCAGCTTTTTTCCACACTACCCTCCTTTCTACCTGGTGCGCTCTGGCCTTGCCCATCTGGCAACTTCTCTCGAGCCCCCTCTCTGAGGCTCACCAAGCTCCAGGCTCCAGCCATGGGGGTTTCAGCTCCTTGGAATGAAACGATCTCTTTCACAGCCTGGGGTGTTCATTTATAGGGCTCGTTTCCCCTCACCTCCTTGAGTGCTTTGTCTCTTTTCATACTGTAGATTTCGGCTAAAAGTTTGTTTCTGGAGAGAGGCATTATCTAAAATCCAACATCCAAAATAAATCACTCCTCAGAATTCCATTACTTTTCTTTGTAGAAAAATTACTTATTTATTTGCTTTTTAAACATGTGTTTTACTATCAGTTGGGAACGCATTTAGTGTACCCACTTATCCTCCTATGGCACAGTGCCCGATGCATAGTGCATACATAAATTAAAAAAAAACAAACCTGGAAAAAAGGATCTTAGAGGTATGCTTAAGCACTATTTTTTTTTTCCACAAAGACTGTGAAAAAATTTTTTGGGTGTATATTATATATTTTTAATTAAACATTTTCCTTGAGGTAATGTAGATGCAACATGCGGTTGTGATAAACAGTACAGAGAGGTCCCTTGTACACTTCCTTCACTTCCCCCAGTGGTGCCACCACGCAAAACTGCAGTACAGCATCACAACCGAGATATTGCCACGGGTACAGTCAGGACCCTAAACACGTCCAACGCCACAGAGTCCCTCATGTTGCCCTTCTGTCACCATGCCCGCTTCGCTCCCACCCCCATCCCTCCTTCACCGCCAGGAGTCATTAATCTATTTTCCGTGTCCGTAATGTTGTCATTTCAAGAATGTTATATAAACGAAAATCAGACAGTATGTAATCTTTCGAGATTGGATTTTTTTCACTCAGCCTAATTGGAGATTTATGTCTGTTGCATTGGATCAATTGTTCATTCTTTTTTATTGTCAGAGAGAATTCCACGGTATGGACGTACCAAGTCTGTCTACCCATTCACCTGTCGAAGGGCATCTGGGTGCCTTCCAGTTTTTGGCTATTACCAATAAGTCTGCCATGCTCCTCTGTGCACAGGTTTCTGTGTGACTCTGTCTTCATTCCCCTGGAGTAAATGCCCACCAGGGCGACTGCGGAATCATGTTGTAGGTGAGTGTTGAGTTTTTAAAGAAACTATCATTCAGAGTTGGGGATGAAAATAAGGATGATTTGCAAGAGGCATTACGAAGAAGAAATTGAGAACGTAACAAAAGCAGCTGAGATGACCAAAAGATATCAACAGGTGGAAATCGTGGAACCAATCAAACAATAAAATACTCTAAAAGGGAAAGACCTCAAGTCCTCCCTTATGATTCAATATGAAACATAGTGAGGATAAAGGATACATTACTTATTTGATAATGTTAAACAAAACTTGGAGACCTCACTTGACAGTCGTGTGGTCGTGAATATTTGGAGGAACTTCTTGTCCAAAAATCAAGGGAGACTCCCTTCTTCCTATCAGGCCCTACTTTAATTGTGTTTTCATTTCCTTTATCTTTTAAATTAGTAACAGAATTGGAAGTTTAGGATTCCAAAGAATAGATCTACATCAGAAGTAATTTTCAACAGTGTCTTTAGTTTCTACCTAAATCTACAACAGATATTTCCTGTCAGGGAGGTCCCTTTCCTTATAGTTTTCACTATGTCTGTACAAGTTTACAGCTCTCCCCCATCCCCTGACATCTGTAGAAAGAAGAAAAAAAAGCCTGATCACTGCCAAGACATTGCTTCTTCCCCAGAGAAGATGTCTTGCTAAAAATCTGTGATATATTCAACAGTGATAATACCAAATTACATCTGGGCCACTGAGTGGGAGGGCTCTATTTTTTCCCAGAAAAGTTATAAAGTAAGGCTTATGTACCTTCTCATGACACAGAGTGGTAGATACATCAAGACTTCATAGAATTGCTCATGCCATCATTCCTTCCTCTTCTTCAAAATCTATCTCTTGGAACTGCAACAGCCCAAACCAAGCTATGTGGTACCATACTGTCCTAATGACGTCAAGTTCATGTTCTTTCCAGCTGAAGAAATGGCTGATGGGTGGTTAAAGGCCAAAGAATGCCTGCTGGCCTTCAGTGTCCCTGACACACTAGTGTTCATACCTATCTTGAATGATGAAAGAAAAAATATTCTACCTGCAGAAAGTGGTACTGTACTCTTCACTGTCCAGACTGCATTGAGCATATTGGCTTAAACTATAATCGTATCTTTTATATATTAGGAGAAACAAAAATCAAGATTCTTATAGATTAAATCAAGTTCTCACAGATTGTATTTTAGTTCAACTAAGATTAAAATGAAGATAAGTAAGAGAGTACGTGAGTGCACTGACAAGTCCAAAAACCAGTAAACTCTTAAACCAAGCTTTCTGATGAGCAGGTTTCTTCTCTGGGTCACACATAGTTCTTGGCATGGAAGGCTATTTTTGGGAAGATAGCTCCCATGTTACCATTTCCTCTACATGCCTTCCATACTACACTCCCGTCCTCATCATTCCACCTTCTGCTCTGGGCCATGTATGGCTTCCTGATGTTGCTGGAAATTCTCCACAAGGTCTGCTTACCCACAAAGCTCTTCAGAGTTCTCCCTTTGAGCAGCACAATCCTAATTCCACTTAGCACCTATGTCTAGGGATGTCACTGGAAAAAGATGTGACTGCCCATTGGCCTGTGAGCTGACCCCAGGCACTCCAAGGCTTCTCATCCATTCCTGTGAGCCTGGAATGGAGTTCCGCTTGCCTTTTTCTCTTTCAGGGGCTGTTCCAAGGACACAAACTTGTAGTGGTGGTGTGGTGTTGAGGACACCTGTACAGCGTATGTGACTGAACGCAGGTGAGGCGTCTTCATATACTGTTAAGATTATGTTGCCATCAAGACAAGCCTCATATATAAGTTCCCTGTGCTTATTAAAACTGCTACCTACCAACTTGGAGGGGCCTCTTTCTTGGGTCTCTCCCAACCCTCTGAGTACAGGGGCTGTTTTAGATCACACCTGGCAAGTTCCCTGGAGGGTTGTGAACCAACAGACTGAATCAAAGTCTTCAGCATAGACACATTTAGTATGTACGGAAAACAAAAACAAAAACAAAAACAAAAAGGCCCATAAATGATTCTAAAGCATTGTCTGATTTAAGAACCACTAGATCCCCAACCAACTTGTGTTTGAATCTTACCTAAATAATATAAGCAAGATATTTAACTGTCTAATCCTTTAAAAAATATAATACCTTACTCCCTGTAACCTTTATTGAAAGTTTACCATGTGTCAGATAATATGGGAAGAACCATATGTATATTATTTTATTCCACTTACATAAGAATGCTATGTGGTAGATATTATTATTAATCCATTTTATAGATAAACATACCGAGCCTTATAGGGTTTAATACAGTTAATAAGGTGCCTGTGATTATATACCTGGTGACCGATGGAGCTGGGATGCAAACCCAGGTCGTCTAAGTAAAGAATTTATCATGGTACCTGACACATAGTGTGCAGATAATGTAGTAATCATTCTAAGTAACATCACATCACCATTACTGTTATAATCAGATACTTAAGGAGTTTCCATCAAATGCTGGTCCTCTCCTGGAGCCGGTGAGTGGTCCATGCCTCACACTCTTCTCCTTTGGAGGACAAGACATTACTAAGTGTCTGATAGAAAATCTACTCTTAGAGATCTGAATATTTTACACATTGTGGGAGTTTACCAGAACCCATAATTTCATTTCATAACTCCAAAATTCAATACGGAAGTGAAGAAAAACTAGGTTTTCTTCTGTTGCAGAAAATTCCAGATACATCTGAAAGCCGTGGGTGCTGCCAAAATGGGATTTCCATCCAAAGAAAGCCTCCTCCTGTTAACTACAGGGCCCGGGGGAGATTGGGAGGGGTCCATAAGCTCCCCCTGACATGGGCAGTGTGTGGACAGTCGAGAAGTGACACTGAGTTCCTCAGTCTCGGTTGCCGGTGGAGGAGGCTGCCGCATGGCCAGCTCTGCCTGAGGACTTCCTCCTTCAATTGCACTTTCTGAGTTTTTCCCCTACATGTTTGTATTTTAAAATGTTCAAGTCAGAAGGTAGAGTTTTAAAAGAACAGATTAGAAGATTTTACTGCTTTAGAAACACATTTCAGCATTTCACTGAACAAATCCAACAATATTTAGCTTATTACATGTTGTGTAAAGAACATGGTGCAGAAGAAACCAAACTTGAGTGGTACTGTTCATGCTCAACATAGAGAAGAAAACGTCCATGAAACATCAATACGGCATAGTTACCTGTCATGTTGCAGTAGACTTTCAGAGGCCCCAGAGGTCCACTGCCATCAGGATCTATCCAGTAGTAATTGGACGTCTGGCCCAGGTGTTTGTAGGCTTCACAGGAAGGCTCATAGATCGCTGGAACAGAACAGCCTACATGAGCACAGTGCAGAGCGAATGGCTCCCCAGGTGCGTGCCCCAGCCACCTCCAATACTAGCCAGTGCTGCTGAGCAGTATATCCTCCGGTTAGAGCGAGTGTTCTTTTTATCCACATTTAAATTCATGATTTGGTTCTTACTCTATGAGCGTTTCTGACCCAACAAAGATAGCAAGTTCCTGCTATGGCTTTATAGTTGGGGAAAGGTCTAAAATCATCAATACGTTGTTAAATAAATGTACTATTCGTTGCATTAGGGATCACTGAAATAATATTTAATCTGGAGTTATTTATAGATATGACTTTATTTTGAAAGACCATAAATATGGGGTATTTTGTTGGGCTATCGACTAAGAGAAAAATCTTTCTCACACACACATACATACCCATACATACACACATGCACCCTTTTTTTGCATAGATAGTATACATTTCCCTCAAACAGCATGAGGTTTCTAATCTTCCTTTATTTCAGGAAAAAGGAAAGAATGTCCCTGTTTCATTTTGTTACAGGTATTTTAATTACATCCCATCTAGTTTGTGTAGAAGGCTGACATCAAGGTAATTAAATTATAAGTTCTTTTCCATTGTTTTTCTTTTTGTTCCCATCCTCCTGACATTTTCTTTTTTTCACAGTGACTGCACCTGTTTTCCAAAGTACAAAATGGACATTTGCATATCTCCTTTGTCGTTATAATTTCTAGAATACTACTGGGAAGACTTTTGAAAACAGCTCCATAGTGACATTTAAGATGACTTTAAAAGATCGCTTTACAAAACAGAACTATTTCTGGTAAAGAGCTATCATCGGATGCACAGGTAATCGAGTCTTTTGGTAAAGAGCACTGGAATTCACACTGCGAACTGTTGTTCATTAACAGCAGGTCCGCTTCTGGGACCTCTCTTTTCCACTTTTTGCTTCCATGTTCTATGTGCTGCCATTGGGCTGCCCCTGGTTTCCTCTGGAAAGATGTTAGACCTCAAATTCAATTTCACATCAACAACAACATACTAGGCTAAAACAATTCTCAAATTCTTTGTCTTACTTAATCCTCTTTTCCTCCCTTCCTTCTGCAAATACTGAGTATCTACATGTGCTGAGCAGAGGATTAGGCAACGCAAATACAGATGCGAGCACCCCAGATAAAGGATCCGTAGGGTTTGCTCACTAATTATTTTGGTATCACTCATGCATAAGGTGCCCCTGGAAGGGGATGCAGTTGGAAATCCAGGCAGAGCTGACATGTCTTTCATCCAAGTGTGATGATTAATATGTCCAATTTCAATCTCTCAAGTCTCTTATTTGGATAATAAACTATGGTTGCTCCAATTTTTAATGCCGTGTCAAGAAGCATACTGCAATAAAGGGCAGGGAGGAAGATTTTTAACCTCTAAACAGGAAGATGCTATAATTAGATGTAGGCTTTAGAAAGAAAACTCCTATAGAAAAACAATAGATTTTTAGGGATTCAGAAATTCATGAGCGCACGTAGGCTGTCATTGCCGTAGGCCAGGTGAAAGGTGACCAGTTCCATGTGAGACTATGAGGAAGGATGAAGTAAATGGGACAGATTCATGTGTTTCTAAAATCAACTAGAGATAGAGACCAGGTGGGTATAAGTAGTTAGGAAGGAGAGTTCAGAATGACCTAAACTCACAATTTCTAACTGCCTTACTCATTTTTTGCAACCTCTCTCCAGATAATTGCAATTTCTGTGTGTAGCTCAAAATGATCCATAATGTCAAGTTATAATTCTAAAGTTTTCCTTTTAGTCCCTTTGGGCAATCTGCCTTTAAAAGCTTTCACATTTCTTTTTAAAATATTTAATAATTGGTCACTCTCTTTGCCCCTCTGCAAACACTCCATTTTCCTTATCATCTGGTATTTGGTTGTCCTACCCAAATATCTCTTCACTTCTCACCAAATTAAGCTTTTCAGCCAATGTTAGTCTGGTCCTAAAACATTATTTTCATTATGTTAAAAAATATGTAATGATTTTTCAGTATCCACGGTATCCTATCCCAGATCACCATCTACACATCCAAGACCTTCCAAAATCCTAACAGATGTTTCCTGGTTTGGGCGACTTGCCCACATAAACTTGCACACTGGTGAGGCACCTTTCCTGGGGTCACCTTTTTCTGCCACACACTACAAACACCTTGATCTATTAACCTTCTCTACCATAGTTAACTACTAAGGCAGGAATGCTAAGGAACAGGGCTCTACAATCAAACAGACTTGGGTTGAAATTCTGATTCCACAGGGTACTACTTATAGAACATTGGCAAAGCTGCCTAATCTCCTTTAGCCTTGTCTGGAGAATAGGTCTTAGGTATTTATTTACAATGTAGTAATAAGAACTGGAGGACATAACAATACCCATTGCTAAACCACTCTCTCTGGGCTATGGTAAACATTTAATAGGTGAAATTTTTATGATTAATGTTGTAGGTCCTCCTCACAGTCCTCCTTTCTTAAGGAGACCCTCCCTAGTCAATATACCCACCTTCCTGTCCAGTCCAGGGCATTTGCTGCTCCTCTCATGCACTGTAGTACCTGATTATAGTCAATTTAGGACTTGACTGACTGTTGTTAATTGAATTTCATATATGAAAATTTTATTTCCTAACAAGACTGTGAGTTATCTGGAGGGGAGGGTCTAGAATATTTATATTTCTTTTCTATTCCATATAATCTAAAATAGCAGATTTCGTTAAAGATTTTATATATTTATTTGAGAGAGAAAGAGAACACAAAGAGGGGAGGTAATAGGGAGAGGGAGAAAGGGTCTTTAAGCAGACTCCACACTGAGTGGGAAGCCCAACATGGGGCCCAATCCCAGGACTCTATCTCAGGATCTCATGATCACAGCCTGAGCTGAAACCAGGATTTGGACGCTTAACAGACGGTGCCACCCAGGCACCCCAAACATGGTAGGTGTTTAAGAGGAGCATCAGAACTGATGAAAGCATGATCTGATGGTAAGAAGCGTGCATCTAAGTAAGCATAGAGATACCCTAGCGAGGGCTATGAACCTTAACTCAGGTAACTAAGAAGCAAGTGCTGATGGCTTGTAGATGAGGGAAATCGGGGTATGTAAGAAGCTCTCTTCTTTTTCTTCCAAGTTTGACAGTTAAATTCTGCTCGACTTCCACCGAGGACAGGCCTACTAGTTGATTTGCCTCATCAACACAAATGGGAAACCAAGTATTTCAGTTCAAACGGTATCATGCATGAAAATCACCTGGAGAGCTCGTTAAGACAGGGATTCCTGGGCCTCACCCCAAAGATTCTGATTCAGCAGAGAATTTGCAGTTCTAACAAGCTCCCAAGTGATGCTGCTGCTGCTGGTCCTGCCTGCAAACTCGAATCCTGGAAAAAAGTTAACTCCAGAAGGGTGAGCTAATTCTTTATTGATATTTAAATGTAAGTACGAGGAAGGTAGGACACCGAAAGACAATACAGTAAAATTTTAAATAAAATAAGGCCGACTGCTACCTCATTTTACTCAAAATAATGAAGAGGCATTGTGATACAAAACCCTAAATAAAAATTCACGTGGAAAGAAATATACTAGGATGAACGCACCCACACGGTACCAGTGGTTATCTGTGAGTAGTAAGATTATGGATGATTTTTGTGTTTTCCATATTACATTATAATGTGCACAAGTTATGTTATGATTAAACATACACCCGAGAGATACATTATCTGGAACAATGGCATGGAGATAGAATGGCAAGGACACCTGGATATAATGAAATACCATTCGTTTTATAACTGAGAAAGGAATTAACAGATTTTCATTCAAATCTCCTTTCTGGCATTTACAATATGGAAACTCCCCTTAACTTTATTTTCTCAGCTGTGAAACGAAGGCAACAGTATCTCCTTCAACTAAGTTATCGTGATGATTAAATGAAATCACACACCCTTTGTAAAGTAAAAAGCATTGAGTATATTGACATTTTAATGCAGAGAATGAGCTAATGGAAGCATTTCCCCTGCAGTCTCAGCCAGTTAGCTCTGGACCCAGTGGAGGCATCGCGGGCTTGCACAATCTGTACACGTTAAGCCTGAGGAGATGACAGAGCCCAAGGGCTGAGGCGGTAGCCAGTGAAGATGTGCGTGAGCTGTAAGCAGTGATGGAGTTTTGCTAGCACACTACCGAAGAACAAAGAGGCAATTGGGCTGATGTGGCAATAAACAGACTCAGCAAGTCCAGTGATTTATTGGAAAAGTAATTTTTCTCTGCTGAGACCTCTAGTCCCAAGTAAAAGTTCTCGTATTATGGTACATATTCGTAAATACATCTCAGATGTTCAAAAATACTACTATTGAACACTTCAGACTCAATTCCATAGCATGTAAAATGCCAGAAGGTGGGGAATCCTAAGTATGTTCATCATTTTCATTAAACGATGAGTGTTGTCAGTGTGACGTCATGCTAGGTACAATGGAAAATGACAAAGGACTGCTGCGTTAGTTTCACTCAGCTGCTGTAACAGATAACCAAACCTTAATGCACTGAAACAATATGAACTTACTATCTTCCAGTTCTGGAGGTTAGAAGTTTGAGGTGGGTTTCACTGGGCTAAATTCAAGGTGTCTGTAGGGCGGTGCTCCTTATGAAAACTCTGGGGGGAAAATCCATTTTCTCCCCTGGCTCAGCTTCTAGATTCCACCAGCGTTCCCTGCTCATTGTCCTCATCCCAATTCTCCATCTTCGAAGCCAGTCCTTCCCACACTCCGTTGCTTTGATTCCCTGATTTCCCTGTCACATCTGTTTTAAGGAACTCTATGATCATCTTAGGCCCACCCAGATCATCCAGGATAATCTCATGTTATGGGCCTTCACTTAATCAGAGTCCCTTTGCCATAGATGGTAACATAGTGAAAGGTTCCACAGATCAGGATAAGGACAACTTGGGGGGGGGGCAATTATTTCTCTTATCACAACTGTATAAAAATACGGC